ACATTTGGTCCTTCAAGCCTTAGCGTTTTCCCTCACCAGTGGTAAGAGACCTAAGGATATATAAAAAAAAATTACCAGAACTTTATATTGATGCGAAATATATTCTTCCAAAAAGGAGAAATATATCAACAAATAGAAGATTTGTTTGTTTGGTATCCTCCCGATACCATAGACAGCGCTTAGTGGCATCATTGAAGAGCAGCGGCAGAAAAAACAAAAATATACATTTAGTTAGAAATTTTGTAAGGTCAGGGCGGCGTTTTACTAACGCATTCTGATCAGGGTCGGAGGCGTTAATCGCTATAGACACCAATAGAAATTTAAAATTGTAATATTAGGTAGAAATAGGGTCAATCCAACGGGAGTAACGGCGGCAGTGACCTTTTACTAATAGAAAACGGCAGCTACGACACGACGGCAGCTAAGAAGACAGCGGCAGCTACGACACGTCGGCAGCTAAGAGACAGCGGCAGCCAATAGACAGCGGCAGCTAGATAAATCCACCTCAGAAGACGATTAAAAATTTTTTACTCGAGAAAGAAGTAGAGTATCTCAAAAAAATAATAACTTTTATAAAGATTTAAAAAAAAAAATATGGCACAAAAATTAAAACTGTATGAATCACAGAAGAAGATAGGAGAAGAAATAATAGCTGCAGTAGAAAAAATAAAAGAAAAAGGACTACGTAAGACAGCCGATAAAATAGAAAAAGTGGAAAAAAACTGGAAAAAATTTCAGGCCAACCACGAAGAACTACTGAAAGAAGGTACAGAAACAGTACTTTAAAGAATGTTGGTTCGATACGGTCAAAAAGTATTATAGGAAGATGTTAGAAACCGATAATACCACTGAAACAACGCAAAAAGTCAACAAAGAAGTAAGTGAAGCGGATAAAATATCAGAAGACAATGATATAACTATAGTTGACACTAAAAAAGAGGTTAAAAAAATCAGTAAATTAGAAACCAGATTAATGAGACTGATTGAAGACTTGCAAAAGATTTAGATGCAATGTTAGAAATTCCTTACAACAACGAACTTGAAGTACCAGATTGGCGAATAGAAGACTTAAAAAAACAGCAGAAAAATATAGAGATTATATATAATGACACACTGGAAATAAGTAAAGATGGCAGAACAACATATAAACAGATCAATACTCAACTAAACGTCATACTTTATCAATTAAATGAAAGTAAAAAAGCGGAACTGGTGGTAAAAAATAAATTGGAGCCGGTAAAACTAGAACCATTCAAGATGCCCACATTCTATGGAGATGTAAAAGAGTGGAACACATTTTCTAATTTTCTAATTTTTAATTTGAAGCTATACGTACAACAGATATACCAGACTCCGAAAAAATGTATAGATTGAAGGCAGTAGTAAAAGGTGAAGCTGGCAGACTAATCCAGCATATGAATGCATCTGAGGCAAATTATAAGTTAGCCCGGAAAATGCTACAAAAAAGATACAATAACAAAAGGTGGTTATTCAGAACACAAGTAGATCAACTTGACCAACCATCTACAACAGTAGGGGATGGTAAAAGTATAAGGCAGCTAACAGACACAACAAACGAATGCATTAATACAATAAAAGAAATGGGTATCGACCTTAATAATGCAGAACCTTTAATAGCACGAATAATATTAAAAAAGCTGGACAAAGAAAGATTGAGAATGTACGAGTTAGGCGCCAAAAACCCAACTGAAATACAAAGCTTAGATGAGGTACAAAAATTTTTAGAATACCAATTCCAAGCACTAGATGCGATGAAAAATAAAGATACAGGTGATAAAAAGATTAATTATCCGAAGAAAATATGTGCTTACTGTAATAAGGCGGGACATACAACGAACGAATGCAGAAAATTTTCAGCAATGTCAAATATTGAAAGACGATTACCAGTAAATCAGCAAATAAATACATCTACAAACATTAGCTGTTCATTTTGTAGAAAACAGGGGCACAAAATATACAACTGCTCATCATTTAGTTCATTGCCTATCAGCAATAAAAAAGCATTTCTAAATGCTAACGACACATGTAAAATTTGCCTGAGCCATAAAGATCAAGACAAAAGCATATCAAAGTACACGTGTAAGATATGTAATAGTAGAGATCATCATACCTTGCTATATGATGAGCATCAACAAGAAAAAAAGGATAAAACAACAAAAAACAAGGTGATCGCAGTAACAAAAAAGATAAAAGCGAAGTAGTATTACTACCAACAGCAATCGTTAAAGGAAAAACAATTAGAGGAGAATATAAAGAACTACGGGCGCTTATAGACCAAGGATCCCAAGCATCAATGTTATCAGAAGAAGCTCTTCATATATTAGGTTTACAAAAAGTAAAAACCGATATTAAATTAACTGGGTTTGCTGAAACTTCAGTAGGGCAAGCAAATTCAAAGGTCATAATGGAAATAAAATCTAAAATTAATAATATAAATATAAAAGAAGAATTTATAGTCATGAACAAGCTAATTAGACCATTGCCAGAGAAAACAATAGACTATGATAAGAATCAGTGGAAAAGCTACAACTTGGCTGATCCTGAATTCATGAAAACAAAACAAATCGATTTAATAATAGGCAGCGACATTTTCCAGAAAATAATAAAGAAAGGGTTCAAGAAAATTAATGGAATTATCGCCCAAGAAACAATATTAAGATGGATAATATCAGGCAAAGTATTAGAGAAACCAGCAATCAGAAGTAAGACAACAATTACAACAAAAAACATAGAAAAGTTTTGGGAACTAGAAGAAACAGATAACACAATCAATGAAAAAACAGAAGATAAATTATGTATGCAATTTTATGATGACACCACTAAAATAGACGGCGACAAAAAATTTATAGTGAAACTTCCATTAAAAAAAGATGCCACACTAGGTGAATCTAGAAATCAAGCAATGGCAACATTCTTAAATCAAGAGAAAAAAATGAGTAATGAGAAAAGAATTGAATACATAAAATTCATGCAAGAATATGAGCAGAAAGGACATATGGAAAAAGTAAAAGATAATACAATAGGAAAATATTACCTACCGCATCAAGCAGTGATAAGAGAATCAAGTCGCACTACAAAACTAAGAGTAGTATTCGATGCATCAGCAAAATCGACAAATGAAAAAAGCTTAAATGACATAATGATAACGGGGCCAAGATTACAGCAGGATATATTCGATATATTAATGAAATGGCGATTATGGAAATTCGTCGCTTCAGCCGCTGTAGAAAAAATGTTCAGGTAAATAAAAATTGCACCAGAAGACCAAGATTACCAAAGAATTTTATGGAGAAAAAATCCAAAAGAAAAAATTATAGATTAACAACAGTTACATATGGAACCGCAGCTGCACCTTTTGTAGCAGTACGAACATTACCTCAAATTGCTGATTAGTCAGAAGAAAATAAAGATATAAAAAATAGCATAAAAAAAGAATTCTACATGGATGACTTAATGACAGGAGCTAATTCAATATCGGAATGCAGGCATAAGATAAATAAAATTAATAAAACTTTAAGTCTTAGAGAATTCCAGCTCAGGAAATGGATGTCAAATCATGAATCGATACTGGAAGAACTACCAGATGACAACGGAATAAAAATACTCAATATACATGAAGATGAATCAATAAAAACCTTAGGACTTAAATGGAATCCAATAAATGATAACTTCCACTTTACTATAAAAATGGAAAATATAAATAAATGGACGAAAAGAATGATACTTTCAAACACAGCGCATATTTTCGATCCATTAGGTTGGCTGACACCAGTAACAGTCATGGCTAAAATATATATACAAAAAATATGGCTAAATAAATTTGACTGGGATGATGAGCTCAATGATGATTTACAAAAAGAATATGATAAATATAAAAAAAATATCCAAAACATAGATGAAATAAAAATACCAAGATGGATAGGAACTACAAATTCAAAAACTTGAAAGTTTCATGGATTCTGCGACGCATCAGAAGCAGCGCGGCTGTTATATACGTCAAAATTGGCTCATCTGTAAAATTACTAACAGCTAAAAGTAAAGTATCGCCGATAAAAAACAAAAAAGACGATTCCAAAATTAGAGCTATGTGGTTCGCATTTACTTGCAAAACTAATGAGACGAGTTTCACAAATATTGAATAGTAACGCCACAATATACTGTTGGAGTGACTCAATGATTACCCTATGCTGGATTAAAAATATTAAAAATAAAGAAAAATTTGTAAGAACAAGAGTTGAAGATATAAAAAAATGGATACCAGAAACAAAATGGCAACATGTAAAGTCACAAGAAAATCCAGCAGATATAGCTTCCCGAGGAATATGTCCTTCCAAATCTATTATGGTGGAACGGACCCTCATGGCTAACAAAAGAAGAAAAAGATTGGCCAAAACCTGAAAAAATAGAAGAAGTAAAAATACTGATAACAGTTACAAGTCAAAAGAACGAAATAATAGAACAACTTATAGAAAGAAACTCCAGTCTAACTGGGTTGGAACGAATCGTAGCATATATACTAAGATTCATAAGCCGACTCAGAAGAAATAAAATTCAAGCAGAATACTTATCAAAGAAAGAATTACAAGAGGCTAGAACTATATTAATTAAATATCATCAACAAAAACATTTTTCAGCAGAACTGAAATTAATTAAAGAAAGAAAAGAAATCAGCAGAGGAAGTAGAATTATTCAATTAACACCATTTACAGATGAAGAAGGTATCTTAAGAGTCGGAGGAAGACTAACTAACAGCGAACTAACTGAAAACCAGAAGCATCCAATCATTCTGGTTAGAGACAGATACACGGAATTAATAACAGAACAAGCACACTATAAAATACTCGGTAAATGGAAACTCGGTAATGGAAGCATATATTAAAAGACGCTACTGGGTAATAGGTATTAAAAAAATAATTAAGAAAATATGCGGTAAGTGTGTGAAATGCATTAGATTTAAACAAACTTTCGCAAAGCAAATAATGGGAAACCTGCTAAAATATAGAGTAACTCAAAACTATCCATTCGAACATACAGGAATAGAATATGCTGGACCAATACAAATGAGATGTTATAGAGGTCGTGGGCAAAAATCATATAAAGCATACATAGCAATATTTATATGCATGACCACAAAAGCAATTCATTTAGAAGCAGTCACCGACTTGACATCTGACGCCTTCTTAGCAGCATTAAAAAGATTTTTCGCACGACGTGGAAAAAGTGCACATATGTATTCCGACAATGGTACAACATTTATTGGAGGAGCAACCAAACTAGACAAAGAATTTGAATTAGCTATCAAACAAAATAATGAAGTAGCATCAATATTAGCAGCAGACAAAATTGAATGGCACTTTATTCCTCCAGCTAGTCCTCATTTCGTTGGTATATGGGAAGCTGGTGTCAAATCAATGAAACATCATCTAAAAAGAACAATTGTAGAATCAAAGTAAACCCGTGAGGAAATGACGACACTTCTGCATCAAATAGAAGCAGTACTAAACTCTCGACCACTTTGTACCATGAATAATGATGTAGAAAGTATAGAAGCACTAACTCCAGCTCACTTTAGGAGCTCCTATGTTGGACGACCCAGTACCAACTACAGACGAAAGAACAAGCAAACTCGATCATTGGAATCACATACAAACAATGAAAAAAGATTTCTGGAACAGATGGAAACATGAATATTTAACAACATTACAAAAAAGAAACAAATGGCAAATAGAAAAAAATAATATAACCGAAGGTGATATAGTAATAATAAAAGACGAAAACTCATCACCAACAAATTGGCCACTGGGAAAAGTCAAAGAAATATATAAAGGAGCTGATGGAAAAGTGAGGGTAGCCACTCTCAAAACCAAAGAAGGCGAAATTAAAAGGCCAATTAACAAATTATGTCAACTTATAAAAGATGAGCAAAATGAAACAAAACGCAAAACTAATACAAAATGCACGAGAAAAAATACCTGTATAAATTTAGCAACAATCTATTTAGCCATGTTGTGCACACTGCCACTAGCAAAGGCATCATCAACTACTACAACATCTTCAATACAAGCATTAAACAATAACACATCAATTTTCTTGGACGAAATAGGAGAAGCAAACACTCAGACGTCAACATGGAACTTGGTTATATATTACGAAATGAAACCTTTTTTTAAAATGATAAATCATGCTAAAGCAGTACTAGAAGTAACAAAGCCAATTTGTCCAAAATTATTACAGTTTAAAGATCAATGTAATAGCATACTAGATACAATGGTCGAACAAATAGTAGAATTAGAAGAAAATAACAAACTTTTCATGGTTATAAACTCTGTCAGAAGGAAAAGAGCTCCACTAGAGTTCATGGGATCACTATTACATATCTTATTCAGAACAATGGATGAAAAAGACAGGAGAGATCTCGAAGACAATATGCAAAAAGTGCTAGATAATCAACATAATTTAGTAAAATTAACGCGGGAGCAAACATCTGTAGTAGATGCCACAGTAAACATATTAAAACGAACTACTAACGACATAAATGAACAATTTACTGACATGAGAAACAAAGCTGAAGCCATAAATGAAGCATTAAATGAAACATTCTTAGTATATAGAGAATCAATAAACTACTATATGGTAACAAAGCAACTTTTATCAATGATCGACGAAACCTCACGTACACAACGAGAAATAATTAATCTATTGATAGACATAAACCACAACAAAATAAATTCTACCTTACTGAAACCACATCTGTTACAAAACACGATTATACAAATAAAAGACAGGCTAACAAATAACGTGCAACTACCAGGAAAAAAAGACGGAATTGATTTACAAATCATATACAAATTACTAGAAGCCAATGGGATATTCGTTGGTACCAAATTAATAATAAGTGCAAAAATTCCGCTATTATCAATACACCCATCATCAGTGTATGAGGTAATACCTCTATCAATTAAGAAGGGTGATACAATGATAATACCAAAGATATCAAAAACGATATTATTATATAATTTCGACATACACTCTTATCACCTAATGACTCAAACAACCTTTAACAAATGTATTAGAATAAGTACAAACAAATACATTTGCAAAGGTAATTGGCCGTGGCAGGACGCTAATGACTCAGCGTGTGAAATAGCGCCGATCAAACCAACAAAAGAGGACAAATGCGAATACGACGAAGTATCCTCCACATCAATATGGATAACATTAAATGGCAACAACAGATGGTTATTCAAAACAATCGAAAATAGTTCAGCCCATTTACAATGCCCATCAAATAAAAACGAAATTCTCCAATTACCCAAACAAGGGATATTAAATTTGCAAACAGGCTGTAAAGCAAGAATAAAAGGAACAACGTTAATAGCCTAATGATCATTGGTTAACAGATGACAAAGAGATATACAGACCAATGACAAAATTAACAGAAAACATCGAAAATAAATATATAAGGCCACTGAAATCATGGGAAATAAAAAACACCAAAGAATTAACGGAAATTAGAGATGAAATACTTAAGCTAAAAACAAGTAAGACTGAATTAAAAAATCTACATTTTCATCACGTCTCAGCTCACATATCATTAGGACTGACAATAATTGTCGTTATTGGAATAATATTATATGTGATAACTTCATACAGGAAGAAGAAGAAATCGGTAGCAGTTACATTCAGAAACCAAAATATTTAGTCTTAATTTTAGGCACCGGCAGAATGTTCAATCATGAACATTATGGCCCCGACAGAATGTTCTATCATGAACATAAATTTATTTTTATTTAATTATTTTAATTATATTATATTATTTTAGTTTATTATTATCGGTTAAAAACCTTATCACTTGAATTCTTAGAATAGAACTAAAGAAAAATATAGGTAAATAGTAACATTTTTTCATAATAAAATATATAATTATAAAAACAATAGGAGGAAAATCCCTAGTGTTGGGACTTCCGTCCTTTTTCAACCTTTTTTTACCTTTTTTGCCAACAATAACAAAATGTAAACAGTCCATTAAAAATTATATTATTATAACCTTGATGTAAAATTAATCTTAAAATATTTTTGTATAAATACAGAACGATGTTTTAAATAAAATCAGTATCTTACAAATGCTCAAACCGTTCAGTAGTTTTATTTCTGAACACACACTCTTTATGAGAGTGCCCAATTTCACTGCATTTTGCACAAGTCACTCCATTTTCTTTACATATATTTGCTTTGTGATTGAAGCCCCATCACTTAAAGCACCTCATTACATTAAAACTCTCATAAACAAGGTATCTATCCCAACCCACATTAATTCTACGCTCTTTCATTATTTTAGCAAATGCAGTACTGTCTTATTCAACAATAGCATTAAAGGTGTTTTTGGTTTTGTATGATTCATATACCTTTAGCACTTCAATTGAGCGAAAAACAATCTCATTCTGATTTTTAATTGCATTTATAATTTTATCATCATCTAATTTTTCAGATATTCCAGATATCAATATTTTAGAATTACGCATATCCGGTGTTGAAATAACATAATTGTCACTGATTTTTTTTTTATTTCACTAGCTAAAATTTCTCTATCTTTAGTAGTAGCACATTTCACTGTTACTCCTCCATCTTGTGCACTCATAAATCCATGAATTTTAACATTAAGATTAGATGGATTTATTTTTAGCTTTAATTCCTTTTTTGTTTCTTCACTTTGCTGTTTATTCTTTGGTTTAAGAGTGATTGGCACATTTTTATTTAAACCTGATTTCAATTTCATAGGTAATAAAACTAGGCTGATCCTTGTTAATAGGTGTTTTATACATTTTCTCATCGAGTTCTTTTACATTTTTTGTCATATCAGCTAATTTTGTTTCAAAGGAGCTGAATTTTTGTTCATAAATTTCTTGAATATTAATAAGTTTTTTTATTCTTTCACTATATCTAGCCTCAACAGCCTTTAACAAGGATTTTATTTCATTTTCATTAGTTTTAAGAGCCTCTTTGAATTCTGCTTTGTATGCTTTTAAGTACGATTGATTTTTTTCTACACTGCTTTGTATTTGTTTAATTGCAAAATCAGTATTGTGAATATACTGCACCCACTCTTCACACATAAATTGTATCATACTGTTATTAAGACAATTTACATTAAATTGTTCAATCCCTGAGCATTTTATGGAGGTGTGATATGCTCTACCACAAATTCCTCTACATATTAGACCAGTTTTACCGCGTATGCCGCCACCGCATTTATAACAATCTTTCATTGTAACAATTATTTTATATACGGAATCAATTACACAATTACACGATAAAAAGAACAATATTTCTGCAGTAATTTAACAGTTTTCAACACTTCTTATTTAAGCTTTACTTGCTGTCTCTATCAGCTGATTATAAGCTTTTCTTTAATAAAACAAAAAAAAAACAAACAATTAATTGTTGTCTCTGTCAGCTGTTTTGTATGTATAAAAACAAAACTATATTAACCGCGCGTGTTTTGCAAATACAAAATAAGTTTTTAGAATTTATTTCTTAAATTAATTAAACAATTATCAGTTAAAGCGTGTACCAACTTGCAAAAATCAGCAATCATAAAGGCAACGCTCATCTGCACAAATTTCACAAAACAATTCAATGCATTTATATTTATGTAAATATACTTATATCGTTTATTAACTTGAACAAAGAACTGACACCAGCCGCAGTTAACAGCTGGCCGTGAACTGGAAATTTCATATGTACTTCCAAAAATCGTTCACAATAGATAAGTTTTTATTCATGGCAACCATGCAATTTGAGCTGCTTATTAGTTAAGCGGTTTCAAAAAAGGTTGGACTAAATAAGCCAGCAGTGTTGTTATTTTATATGTTATTTTTAAAAAAAGCGGTTGTTCTTTTGTGATATGCTTACAAAAGAAAACGCCTAATGTTGGACTAAATAAGCCAGCATTGTTGCTGTTTCATATACTATTTTTAAAATAATCAGTTGTGATATGATTACAAAATAAAAGGCCTATTTTCGGTAAACGAATTCTAGTTTGTATATGTGTGTCTGAATGCTTACCAGCACATTATTTTATTGAGATTCCCAGCGGGACTTTCAGCGCTGAGGGAATCGATTCCCTCAGCGCTGAATGGTAATGCCTAGCGCTGATTATTCAAAGGAAACTCCTAATTACTTTAACACGTGCATGTCATTGCGGGCAAGCGCTGAATCGTTCGATTACCTTTTCAAATTTGTAATGCAACATTTCAGCGCTGACATGCTCGCTTACCTTTTTAAATTTGTAATGCAACATATCAGCGCTGACATATTCGCTTACTTTTTCGAATTTGTAGTGCAACATATCAGCGCTGACATGTTAGCTTACCTTTTCGAATTTGGAATGCAACATATCAGCGCTGACATGTTCGCTTACCTTTTAAATTTTACCTATACTATTGATTTTTAA